TGCTTTCTCAACAGTTCCAAAACTGATTCTACTTTCCGTTGTATTTATTATAACTTTTTTTTTCTTTTTCTTTGTTTCCATGTCGTTTTTTTTGAAAACTGCTTTATCAAATAATACAAATGTAATCCGCTATTTATATGATTGATAAGGTCTCTTGAGAAGAAAAGACCAAAAAAAAAGACGGAAAAGTTGTTAAATGAAGGAGAAGATAAGGATCAACAAAAGAAAAAGTGCAGCAGAGACCTTTTGTACTTTAAGAGGCGGCAATAAAATGATAAAAAGACAGAAGTATCCGTGAATAAAAGTGAAAAAAACTAGAGTAAAACGGTAAGGAAGAAGGTACGATATCAGAATCTATTGCTAATTAAATCTCTCAGTCATCGAAATAAGTCTTCTTTACTACTCCATGTTTCTTCATGAAAAAAGTAAAAGTAGAAAAGTTTTTTATTAGAAATAGTTAGAAGGAAAAATAAAGAATTCTGTCTGAGACAGGTGTCATGAGATAAAATTAGAAATCCAAATAAGTTTTTTTTTGTGTGTGCTTTTTATCTATATACATAGTTTTTTTTTAGCTCACATCCGTCTAAAAGCAAAATATCACTACAAAAAGCAAAAAATTTAGAATTTATCAAATAATTATTTGTTGGTTTACTTCTACACAAATACCGATGAAAATTAATTTTAAGACTGTAATAAACGTCCAATAAACCATTACAACGACACTTTTTTTTTCTCAATAATCTCTAAAGCTAAAAATTTATTCTTATTCTATTAGAGTCGATTAAGTGTTAAGGTGCAGTGAATTAGTCAAAACAATTAAAAACTGTAATTTACCTGTTCATCAAAATTGCATCCATTTTTGGGATCTGGTAACTGACATTTGTCACCATTTATTCTGTCACCGGCAAATGAACCACAGCAGATTTCAAATAACTGTAAAAACAATGAAATTTATTCAAAAAAAAAAAATAAATAAATAAATAAACCAAAAGCTCATAAAAAAAAGTCGTTTTTCTAATTATTATTCAAACATAAAACATTTTTGTTTTTACTTAGCAATAAATACCTACCGCACACTGTTCTCCTTCTCGAGCTTTTCGAGCCATTACTTCACACTTATAAGTGTAGTCTCTGCTAGTCGGATCAAAAATATAGTCTTCAGGTGATACAGTACAGAATAGCGTCAACAAAACAAACGTTATTAGCAGTTCCATTGTGAACTTCACAGGTCGACTATCCAAAAAAAAAAAAAA